AAATTTCAGTTCTACACACTGTGCCTGTTCTCTGCCTGGTCACACTGGAAATGTGAAGCCCAGTGCATTGCCCTTTTGATTCTCTTCAGTAACTCGGCTCTGTGTGACACTTACTACCCCCCAGGTATAGTTATCACCCTAGAAATCTGCAGACTTTGGGCACTTTCTGGAATTTAATGTCCTGGCCTTAAACTTTTGCACCAGCCCTGGGGCTTGGTATCTGCTCCTAGCGTTTTCCTCATTCAGTCTATTTTCTGGCCTGGGTTCAAAGTGACAGCACAATGCACACAATGTCAGTTACCACCCTACAAGTCTCCTGCAGCCCCCAGCTTCTCACTAAATTCCTCAGGGAAGGGATACAGGACACTCTACAGGGATCTGTGGTGCGAGTCACTGCCCCGGTCCTCCTCCCTGGATTCCGTGCTGGTCGCCCCTCTCCTGACAGGACCAGAAGCTCTGAGTGTCCACCCGGACATGTGCTGAGCTCCTCTCTCACCTCCTGGGGTTTCACTCATCTGTCATCTTGTGTGTTTTGGAAGACTCAGTCGCATGTTGTGCTCCCGCCTCCCCTCCCTCTCTCTTCTGTGTGGGTGTTTCAAGTCTATTCCCAAACACACGTAAACCATCACCACTGCTACCAGACTGCAGGCTTCCTGGCACAAAACCTTTGATGCCTGGCAAACAAAAAGCACTCAAGGAACGTTTATTGAATGAGGCGTTAAAGATCCCTGTGAAGTCACTGAACTCCATGGTTTCACCATAACTTTCATGCTTCCGAGACTTATAAATGACTCAGTGCCCCGAACATGCGGTTTCTCTTATGCCTTGGTGACTTCCATAGGTGCTTTGTGTAACAATTGTCCCTGCCTCACCATTAGTGTGAAATCTACTCTCAGGTTATATTTATTTAGCAATATTCATGTGGTCTCTTACATGTCATTCGTACGGCAGACACTGGAGGGAAAGGAGTTATTAAGACAAAGTTCCTTCCCTCAGGAGCTTGCTGCTGTGCTAAGGAGGTGAATAGATATTAAACAGGTAAAGGATGTTGAAAACAGCTAATTAATACTTTTGATGATTACTACACAGGAAAGTGAGTGGTTGCGCTTGGAGCAGATGTTATGAAGGCATTGCTCCTGAGATCTGAAAGCTCAGAAAGAAACAGTCACCCGAGGAAGAAAGAAACCCATGACACAGGAAAAGGAGACAGCTTGTGCAGAAGTCCTGGGGTAGCAGAAAGTTTTGTTTATCCTGAAGTTGCTCACAGAGCAGCCTCATAAGGAGCTAGTGCCAAAGGGAGGGACAGGGAGAGAGCGACACGCGAGGGCCTGGACAGGGTGGCAGGGCCCAGGATTCTGCTGCCGCTGAGCCTTCACAAGGGAAAGAGAACTCACTGACAGGGTGCAAGCAGAAACTTGGTTAATGAGGCTTTCTTAGGTTCATTAAAACACTAGATTAAATACATTTAAAAAATTCTGAGTTCCTCAAGAATGTGTGGGGCTGTAAGAGTAGAAACGGGAAGACCAGTTAAGACTCTGCAGTGGCACTGAGAGAAAGGAGAGATGGACCAAGGAGAGGGTTGTGCTGGAGATGGCGCTGTGAATGCTGAGTCTTTGGAGACAGGGGAGGGAGTTTGGAGAAGTGCTTGGCAGGTTACTCGGAGCTCTATCCACGATGCCGCCTTTTACCGAAACACGAAAGTGGGCGGAAGGGCAAACGTTCAGACTGGAGAAGTTTCATGAGCCCTCAGGCCCACGCACACCACATTCGGATGCCTCATCCTGGACATTACAGCACTGATCACACGCTGTTACACCGGCCTGCTTGCTCTTCTGTCTGCCGGGCAACAATCTCTGTGGAGCTAGATCCTATCTTTTCATCCTTAGATAAGGACATGCAGTGCATCATCTACATAGAAGGCCAACAACCATTGTTTGAATTACTGGGCGAATGTGGGAAGAGCTAAGAGAACAGGCGAGGGTCCCAGTGCTTCTATAATATACTGCAACAACAGAGGCTTCCAATCTTCCTGAGTTTGTCATCCTTCTAGAGAAGATGTATAAACTTTGATCAGAAACTTCCAAGGCTAGTACATTCTTTACTCAAACGCTAACCTGCTTTAAATTTCCAGTTGCTAAAAGCGAGTGGGCAAAGTCTATTTTAGTCTACTCTAGAGATAAAAGAAAATCATGAAGTTTCTCTTTTACTGTAGTCCTTGAGTTACAAGTGGGCAAAATGTTTTATAATTAATAAAACGCAAAAGAATTCCTCTCTAGGACATGGAGCACCCTCGTAACTTTTAATGTTAACCTTTCTGCAGATTTGGGGGGATCTTTACAAGATTCACTTGTCATTTGATTCTTTTAAAGAATGTTTGATGTAGGTGGACAGAGATCAGAGCGGAAGAAGTGGATTCACTGCTTTGAAGGCGTTACATGCATTATATTCTGTGCTGCTCTCAGCGCCTATGACATGGTCCTGGTCGAAGATGAAGAAGTGGTAAGTCTCAAAGGAAAACAAGTCAAGGTGAACACCAAGTGTCCGTGCCGTTTAGAAGTACCCCCCCCCGCGATGGGCGGCCTGTCTCAGTGCTTGTCTGTGACGCCCAAGTCTCATGTGTGTGAATCCTCATTCTACACATCCTCCTGTTTTCCACCAGAACAGGATGCACGAAAGCCTCCACCTGTTCAACAGCATCTGCAACCACAAGTACTTTGCATCCACCTCCATTGTCCTCTTTCTCAACAAGAAAGATCTCTTTCAGGAAAAAGTAAACAAGGTGCACCTTAGCATCTGCTTTCCAGAGTACACTGGTGAGTCTTTTGATTTTGTAATAAGTTGTTATCGAGACACATAGCTCCCTGTCTGCACCTGACCTTTTGTATTTGTGAGAATGAGTCACATAATTATAGTGGAAACTCGAGCATGGTCCACACTGAAGGCAATCTTACAGATGAGGAGGAATCTTCTCTACGGTATTTACAGGAATGCACATTCCACTGAACAAGTGAAAAAGCGTATACAGATGAGAGTTGCTCCTCTAAATAAGCCACCAAGTGGCATTACAACTGCTTTGTCTTTGGCGTGGTAATAGGAATGCAAACAAGCGTCTTTCATGTGCCTCTTCATGAAGACTTATAATGCTTTGTTAGAACTCTGGCTTTTCAGAGTCTGCACTTATGTAGAGAGAGAACACAGATGACTTTGGGAGGAGGACTGAAGCATCTTCTCTGTTGAATTTCTCCAGGACCCAGAAATTTTGTGCCACTCCTGTTAGTCATGGAGTAAAGGTCGAGTTCACTGAAGTGCTGTTTTTCCTTCCGTGACAAAGTTTTGTTTTCTACATAGCTGGGTGTTCAGTTGTTGATGAAATTATATAAGATGAAGATATGTGTGACTCAAACAAAATTGTACGTCCAACCTCACCTGTTAGGTGTGTGGGACAGCCCAGATGTTCAAGGAACAACATGTCATCAAAAATATTTATGCTAGTTAATCTACACATAGTCCTTATGAGGTCATTGTATAATTTTAAATTTATTTTTATGTTTACACATTTATTGTGATTTGATACAACTATGGTTTTAAATTTAACATTATAAAACTATGTGTAGACATAAGTAACATATAGACACATAGCTACATTTATTTAAAAGCAGAGTTTCTTAATGTAGTTTTTAGTTTGAGGAGAAATGAACTTTTGGAACAAAAAGTATAAGGAGTTCCCACATACTTCCTCTTCTGTCCCTTCCACAGTTTCCTCTGTCGTTAACATCTTGCACTGGTTGGGTATAATTATTATAACTGATAGACTGGCATCACCATATTATTAAATAAAGTCCAAAGGTAATCAGGGGTCACCTGTTGTGTGATACAGTTCTGTGTGTTTTGCCAAATATGATTGTATAATAGTTGGTACTTTAAATAGCAGTATGCAAAGTAGAATTCCTAAACTTACCAATCTATTTGTACCATGCAGTTAATATTTGCGTCCTTAACATTTTGTTTACAAGGTCCGAATACCTTTGAAGATGCAAGCAACTACATCAAGAACCAGTTTCTAGACTTGAATTTGAAGAAAGAAGACAAGGAGATTTACTGCCACATGACCTGTGCGACAGACACCCAAAACGTCAAGTTCGTGTTTGATGCAGTTACGGATATAATTATCAAAGAAAACCTGAAAGACTGCGGGCTTTTCTAATCCACCCTTTCCTCCTCTACTCTTGCTTACACGATCTTTTCAAGATGCAAAAGAAAGGGTGCTATGTGGTTAGTTTGAATAGATATTAACTTATAAAGAACTATAACTTGCTTTGTAAAAAAAAAAAGGTTCCCCTACAGAAATTCTAATGTTATTATTACTCGAAACCTGAAAAGTTTCAGTTTCTCCATCACAAGGAAGACAGAGTCTCTGGGGACACCAGATCTAAACACTGATATCTTTTGGTAACTGCAACAGTAGATGTTAGCAATACTGAATTGTCTTGGAAATCAACTTCTGTAAGTGGATTATTTTTCATCACAGATTAATGAAAAAGCAGAGTATTGTGTATCATTTCCATAAGCCAGATATTGAGAGTCATTCATTTTTCTGACAAGGCAACCATTCACTGTACAGAGTGTTCATAATGTCAGTCATGCCTCAGCTCAGCAGTTACAGAAGAAATATGCACTGTACATATTCCGGTTGAAGGACAGTTGCATGTGCAAAATAAATATGTATGATTTATCTGCTTCTGTCTTTAAAGCCAGAGTTACCCTTGGAGTTGCAATGTTAATGATACATCTTTCCCCACTGTCTTGAAGAGAGAGGAGAAAGTTTATGGCTAAATATACAACATAGGAATAAATTTACCACCTGGAAGAGGTCTTCAATGAAGAGTCTATTCACTGCTTTTTATTCCATAGTAATAGGAGGTTTTTCTTTTCTTTTCTTTATTTTTTTGGTACAGGGAATCGAACTCAGGTTCTTGAGCTTGTGAGGGAGGCAGCAGAACCACTGAGCTAAATGCCCAGCCCAGTAGGAGGTTTTAGATGATAACTTGAGCTTTTCTATTTGCACTTAATGGTATTTCTATATATTATATTTTAATCTAATCATCAGGCCTACTTTTGCAAATCTAAATTATTACTTTATAAAAGAATCATGTAATTTATGGGAATGAGAGGGGATTTGTGTGTGTGTGTGTGTGTGTGTGTATATGTGTGTTTTGTTTTTTGCAGAGTGTCAGCTGTTTCCCAAATGTGCTCTTCAAGGCTTGGCTCAATGTCATTTCAGCTCAACGGCTGTGAGAGGTGATATGGTAGACTATTAGATCAGTGCAGGCTACTTGTAATGATGCTGAAGAGAAATTTAACTAGATCTGCATAAGCTAAGTGAAATGGAGGGAATCTAATAAGCAAAACTGCCAGTCTGCATTTCTGGTGAGTTGTAGTGCTCTGCCTCTAGACACAGCTTCTTCCTGTGAGTAACACACTTCTATCCTGAGCAGGTAAGAATGGCCATCACTCAGTAAATAATTTTGACCAGAAAGCTGGTGGTTTTCTCTCCACAAATCACAAAAAAAAGGTTAAAAATACAATCAAATGGAAAATAAATTACATTTGACTTTAAATTCCTTTGTAGAACATAAATCATTAAGGAGCCTAAGACACCCAGCCATGAATAGCATGAGCAATCATTGTGTTTAAGCATCAAGTGATGTTGTGTGGCTGAGAACGTATCTCTGCAGGGTAAGAAGCTGGTGTTTCGTGAAGGGACATTCCTTGTTTTGAGATTTTAAATGCAGATTACAAGTACTATAATCTCCTCCCCTGTTTTCTTGTTTTGTTCGCTTTTTGCTACGTTGAAGGTTGAAACCCAGGCCTTCGCATGCTGGTGCAGTGCTCCACCACCCAACTGCATCCTGGGTATCACGGCAGACCTTTTCTCCCTACTGCCCTGTGATCTGTGTTTTTCCATCAGTGACAAAAACATTATTCGAACTGCTGATCTGCTTGTTACTTACATAGTGCCTGATTTGGTTGTAGACAGGGTCCATCCTCTTTGTCCAGTCTGGCTTGGAGCTCAAATCATGGGGCCCACAGCCCAGGACACCAACCTAGCTCAAGATTAATCCTTACTCAGATTTAAATGTCAGATTCCTCTTGAAAATATAAAGGGTGGGGTCAAAACGCTGAGCTTACCTTTTAACGCTACATGATTCACTTTTGTAAAGTGTACCTGTAAAAAGTGACAAGCGTGTGTATATTTTATGAAATACTGCACCATGGGGACTTTAGAAACAATGTTAAATGATCAAACAACAAAATGCAAATCAGCTCAGATTCTCTTAAGAATCTTTAAAAAATTTCTTCCAATCTTATGATTCAACATAAAAGCATCTTTTTTTCATAATCAAAAATATTGCCCTGCTAAACAATAAATTTTAATTCAGGAGAGAATTTTAGTACAAAAAGAAATAAAGACTTGTGTTATTTCATGATAGCAATCTTTCAAATTCAATTTTTTTCCGTTTCATTTTTTTTTTAATTTTCAATGTGAAAAGTTGGAGCAGTTGCCCAGAGTTTTGAACTGGAAGTAACAAATGAAAATATAGGAAGATCTGCTTTCACCCAAAGAAACTCCCACTTTGAACAGCAAAGTTAAAGTTTGATAAAATTCAAATGACAACTTTAATTGAAAATTGAGCCTTCTAATTTTACTGTCAGTACTTTGCTTCTAAAGAATCTTGAAGGAGCTGGTGGTATAGTTCAATGGTGTAGTGCTGGCCTTGCATGCACAAGGGCCTGGGTGCAGTCTCAAGCACCACAGATGCACAGACAGACAGACGGACCGATGGACAGATCGATGGATGGACAGAGGGGTGGACAGATAGGTAAAACACCATCTTAAATGGGAAACTTTAGTTCTCAGCTGCTACATCACATGTCCAAACAATGAATGCCACTCAAGCATAAAATAGTTTCTGTTTCTGCTACTGGAGGTTTCTCCTCCTGACTCAGACTGTGCCCCAGTCCTGTTCCCTAAGACTGTTAGCGTTCCCAGCTCGTTGGCCCAGTTCACTCACAGCACTGCATCGGAGACCTGATGTAGACTTAGACCCGACAGGATGACTAATAGCCAGACCTGCAGAGCTTGAGCAGACGCATAAACAGGTCAGTAGATGAGACTGAACCCTGGGACTCATCACTAGAGAGATAAACGAAGAGGATAGTGACTGGGCAATAATACCTTCATGCCAAAACATCATGAAAGCTGTTGACCCCATGAAGCAGCTCTAAGAAAAAGCAGCTCTATTTCAATTCATGTGGAATTTCTAATATTTATCATAAATGCCCAATAAGCTAAGGATTAACAAAATGTGAAAACAGTAACAGTCTCCATGCACATCACATAAATGGCAAACAAGTTTTTACACCACAAATCTGTTTTAGTTCTTACCTGATCTGTCATCCTGTTTAACACAAATTGGATTTTAGGATGCTTACAAAGAGTTACCCAGGCTTGACATAGCCAGACACCGTGAACACGAAGGACGCCAAATAATTTGATTTGTGTGTCTTTAGCACTTTAGAATAACAAGTAGAAATGCAGGTTAAAATGTATGACGGCTAACAACGGGGAATGTGTAAGAATTATGGAGCAAATTGTGAGTTATGTAGCACACTACTTTTTTTAATAATAGGAGACAAATTGTGTGCTTTGCAGGGAGTAAATCTTCACTGTGAATGCTTTTTCTGACTCTCGTACGAAATACCTGTAGCCACATGGGGGCACACTTACAACATGTGTTTTTTTAATTTAACTGTTGCAAACATAAATTTGGATTACCCATAACTTTAAAGAAACAGATAATAAAGCCTAATTAAGAATAATTGCATTCTTTGCTTTTAATTCCATTGAATGTGATATCTTCTGATACCCTAATGTGTAAGAGCTTAGTCAAATTCACAAGTAACAGAGCTATTCAAGTGGCTCCAAACTTATGGTGTTGTATAGATATTTAATCTCTTCTCATGGTCCTGTCGCATTTTTGTCACTTTTGAGCTGTTGTTTAAATCCAAGCAGCCATAGATTTTGTAGCACATTATGCTTCAAATACTGATTTGCTCTCAGTGTAAAGTAGAAGAAAAATAATCCAAAGCCTGACAACTGTTCTGCTTTTTGAGTCGTAAGCAATGGCTGCTTATTAATGTGTCTTTCCAGTAAATTAAAGTAAAATTCCATTGTGCTAAAGTAGGAACCGTCTCATTATTCTGTTCATTGCACTGCCTTAAATACCACTCCATCTGATCAGGAGGGAAATGGGGGCTCAGTGACATTAGTAATAGCACATTCTTTAATTTTAAGCTGCATTTTTCACACTGGTTATGTAATAAATAGAGTCACATGAAAGAAAAAGGAAATAAAAGAACACTGATTTTACTCCAGAGGGTGAGGAATGGGCCTCTAATTATTACACTTTCCAGAGAAGGGATGATTCATGAGATACACAAGAAGGCACTATTTTATTTGAAAAACTATTGTGCTTTCTAAAGTGGTCAGACCTAAGTAAAATCAAGCACACACATGTGATTAGAAAACTTTTTTTTTTTTTTTGAGACGGGATCTCACTGTGTAGTTAAGGCTGACCTAGAACTCACTATGTAGCCCAGGCTGGTCTCAAACTCACAGCGATCCTCCTGCCTCAGCCTCCCAAGTGCTGGGATTACCGGCATGTGCCACCAAACCCAGAAAACACTTTTGAATGTACATTGCTCTGAGTTTTCTCTCCTGAAATAGAAAAACATTACCAAATACAAAATCCCATTACAATATCAAGACCAATGGAAAAGAATCTACCCAGAACACCAGGAAAAAAAAGTGTTGATCTATGCTGGAATTACCTTAATCAATTAAAAATTGAATTTTTTCATTTCACTTAAAAATACTGACATACAAGTACACATTTAGATAAAACACAAAGAATGTGAGAAATTTACCAGCAAAGAAACAATTTTGTGTTTCCCTTGGAGTTGAGTGAGTGCCTCTGCCAATTCACGATGTGACCAGAGATGTTTAGTCTCCCCTAGATTCAAGACCCTTCACTGAACACATTTATTCACATGTGTGATATGTTCCCAGTGGACACCGACAGCAGGAGCACAGTCAATTCTACCCTTGGAGAAAAGAGTATAAAAACCATTTCAACCACGTAATAAAAGAGAAATAAACAATCACTCTTTTTCAAAATTCCGTTCCATGTAAATTGGAAGAAGAGCTGTCATGGGGCTCAGGACATGCTGTCTGGAATACTTCGGTATTTGAGTAAACAGTAGAGGCCAGAAGGTTTCTGTGAGCCTCTCTTCCCTTCTCTGAAGCAGTCCCTGTAAGAATTCTGTGGCCTACCTCTAAAGTAGGCCACACGGCCCACAGGGGTCCAAGGTATAAAGATACAGACAGCCCAGGGCATCCAAACAAACAGGCCTTTCCGAGTTCTCAGCCCCCTGTGTGCATCACAACTTGCTTGACTATCAAGTCTTCATCAAACAGAAACATAAAATCACAGTCTGCTCTGTTCCTTAGGGTCTTCAGTTCTGAGGGTGCCCGTGTCACTTACAACTCATATTAAATAAATTGGGATGCTCATTTTCTTGTCAATATTGCTTTTGTTATAGGGGTCTCAGCTATGGCCTGGTGATAGGTAAGGAAAAGATACGTTTTTTCCTATAAGTTCTTCATGATCTTTTTTTTTGCTTCTTTTAGTTAATCAATTTTATTGGTACATTGAAGGTATACAATACAATGACATTCATCATTGGAAATTTGTACCTTTACATAATCCAGCTTGGTTCTTATTTTCTCCCAATTCCCCTGCCCTCACTTCAACACCTGTAACCCTACCTATCGACAAAGACTCTGTTTCATTTTTTTTCTTCTCATATTAATTCCATTCCCTTCTTTCTTACCTCCACCCCTCTTGCTTACCTTTCCTTTTTTTTTCAGCTTTAATTGAGTTTATTGGTACATTTTAGGGATACAGTACAGTTACATTCATTGTTGGGATCTTGTACCTCTACATGACAGGTCTTGGTTCTCATTTTTTCCCCTTGTCCCTGCCCTCCCTTCACCCCCTCCTCCCCTCCCCATCTACAGCCACTTTATTTCCATCTTTTCATTATCTCACATTATTTTCTTTTCCCTTTTTACCCTTCCCCTACAGTTCTTCATGATTTTAAGCAATAACCTCACCACTTTTCTTCACCTTTTCTAGATTCTTTCAAATCTTAAACCAGTAGTAGAAGTACCTGGGCAATTATATTCTGGGCTCTGGACTCGTAGATGCAACATTAATCACTTAGATTGCAACAGCAACTTACTAACCAGTTATTTCACTGTGAATCTGTGGCAATAAGTTCTCCTGAGCTGTACTGTCCCTGCTCAAGGGGTGATAAGCTCACTCTTGAGAATCTAGAGCTGGCTGAGTTTACTTGATTTTGAATTCCAGTTCCAGCTTCAAACCTCTTCAGATCACTGAACCATTGTTTATTTTAGGTGCTTATTTCCTACCTCTTAGGTACCTCAGCCAATAAAATCTAAGCTCTGAACAACTAACTTATTTCAAAAACTGATACCAGAGAAAGCTTCTCTGTTTCTACGAGAAAACTCAACAGGAAAAGGTCTGCAAGGAATTTTTAACTAACTTTTGAAATATGATTTAAATGTTCAAAAATTATAATTTCCTCTCTTTGTCAATTTTAAATTGAGAGATTAGTAGTGTCATTTGTTCCTGAGAGGGTCCAGGAACATAGGAAATCACACAAGAACAAGCACCGTGGCTTGTAGTCAGCTAGTCTAGATGTTAATTTGTGTTGTATACTAGTCAAACTGGATTGTGTACTACAGAGACTCACGAGTCCTCTCTAACAGCTGTGGCCCCATACCCCCGGCTACTTCATCAGTTCTTCTAGTTAAGCTACTGCCAAAAGAGCAATGTGTGCCATTGTGCAAACTGCAGTCCCTCCTAATAGTTCACAACAAATGTCCTTAGCAGCACGCAGGACCAACTCCTCACCAAGAGGCTAGTTAGCTTTAGCAATGTGGTAAGTCACTAGGAATGGTTCTTTGTTGCCTATGAAATAATGTTACACTGCCATGACATCTATTTCTTTTTCTTTTCTTTTCTTTTTTTTTTGGAGGGGGGTACTGGGAATTGAATTCAGGACCTTGCACTTGCCGGGCAGATGTGGCACCACTGAGCTACATCCCCAGCCCGTACACTTCCACGATGTCTAATTCTGCATGATCTAAGGACTTTTTACTCAGTCTTTGGCCCATTATAAATCTAACTTCACTGGTGAACTTCCTCTCCCTTAAAACATATGTCTTTTTTCCCCTTTTCATTGATTTATTAACTCAAGCTTCAGATTTTTTTTCTTTGTTCAGCAGT